TGGCTGGGGGTCAGGGGTCAACACAGAGATGGCCTGGCTGGGGGTCGGGGGTCAGCATGGGGAGAGCGTGGCTGGGGGTCGGGGCTCAGCATGGGGAGAGCGTGGCTGGGGGTCAGGGGTCAACACAGGGAGGGCCTGGTTAGGGGTCAGGGGTCAGCATGGGGAGAGCCTGGCTGGGGGTCAGGGGTCAGCATGGGAAGCCTGGCTGCGGGTCAGAAGGCCTGGAAGCAGAGTGGGGTGCTCCCTCCTTGGGACCCTGTCCTTGTCCGCGTCGGGGGGGGGCTTGCACAGGGCTGTGTAGCCACCCCGCATCTCATGCCACCTGCGCCAGGTCAAGGTGTGGAACACGCTCAGTGGCTTCTGCTTCATCACCTTCACGGAGCACTCGAGTGGGGTCACCGGTGTGACCTTCACTTCCACAGGCTACGTCATTGTGACTTCATCCATGGATGGGACTGTGCGTGCCTTCGACCTTCACAGGTGATGTCTTTGCTCTGGAGGTTGGCAGAGGATGGGGCCGCCTCCCGTGGACGGGTTTGGGAGTGTGTGGGGTCCAGTCTTGTCTGAAATGAGGATATTGAACGAGTGTGGGGTGATGCCGTTGCCCTCCCCCTTGGCGTGCACGGGGTGCTGGTGACGCCAGTCGTGACCCGGGCCCGCGGTTCCCTCTCCCGACAGGTACCGCAACTTCCGCACCTTCACGTCGCCACGCCCCACGCAGTTCTCCTGTGTGGCCGTGGACGGCAGCGGTGAGATTGTCTCTGCTGGTGCCCAGGACTCCTTCGAGGTCTTCATCTGGTCCATGCAGACTGGCCGGCTTCTAGACGTACGTGCGGGGCACCCTGACCTGTGGCTCTGTGGGTCCCCACAACGGTCACAGGGCACTTGTGTGCGGTTCCTGACTCACTGCTTGCCCCCTTCTGCTCCCCAGAACAACTGAGCTCACCCGGTCCCAGATGCCAGGGAGCCCGTGGGTGCGGTGTGTGGGGCAGACACTCAGGAGCAGTCCGGAGGCCCGAGTCAGTTTCTCCCCCGTCCCCCTTACCTCGTCTCCCTTTATGCCTCTGTAGGTTTTGTCTGGCCACGAGGGGCCCATCAGTGGTCTGAGCTTTAACCCGGCCAAGTCCGTGCTGGCCAGCGCTTCCTGGGACAAGACAGTACGCCTGTGGGACATGTTTGACAGCTGGCGGACCAAGGAGACGCTGGCCCTGACCTCCGATGGTGAGCCTTCCTGGGGCCAGGCTCGCGAGGCCAAAGTCTGTTTCGGTCCTTAGGGCAGGCAGTGCTCTTCCCTTGCCCCTCTGCCTGGAGGCCTGGCAGGAATGATCCCAGATCTAGCGCTGGCAGTGTTAGGGGTGAGAGCTAGTTGGGGGTTCAGCCCAGTGTCACTTCATCAGGTTGTGGGTGCTGAAGGAACTGTCGGGGGTCCCAGCCTACTAGGCCCGTGATGGAGTGGAGCCAGCCAAGGAGAGAGGCCAGCCTCCGCTCGTGGTTCAGAGCTCCGACGGGGCCCAGGCGGCTTCTCTGTGGGTGCAGCTGTTTTCTGCTGCTCCTGGAGTGGCCTTTGGGCTTTAACCACTGTCCCCAGTAAGCATCCAGCGCTGTCCTTGGGAGGACCCATTGGTAGGACCAAGTGGCTGTGAGTGAGGGGCCGGGGATGAGGCTGCCTGGGGGCTGCCTGGGGGCCGGCTGCTCTGCCCGCTTTTCCCGGGGCCTGTCTTCAGGCGTCCCGTCAGCCCAGGACTAGTCCAGGGCGTGGAACACAGCACCTGCCAGCAAACCTGGCCTGCTACTTGGGTTTGTGAATAAAGTTTTATTGGGGCACGGCCATGGCCATCGCGTATGGTACGTATGGTACGTGCGGCTGTGTTCACGCTACCCTGGCAGAGTTAGGTGGTCGTGGCAGAGACCGTGAGGCCCGCAAACCCTAGACCATTTACCGCATAGGCTTCATGGAGAAGCGTGCCGACCTGGGTGGTGAGGGTGCTCTGGGGTGGTCTGCCCCCTGCTGGCCCCACACCCTTCCCTGCTCAGGTGCAGCGCGGACCTCCCTGCCAGCTCGCCCTGCCCACCCCAATGCCCCCCCGCCAAGGCCAGACCAGCTCGCCCTCCCCACCCCACACATGTCCTAAGGCCAGGCCAGCTCGCCCTCCCAACCCCCACGCCCCTGCAAAGGCCAGCCCAGCTCCTGCGCGGTCACGCTGTTGGGACTGTCCTCCATGGCCCTAGTCTGGAGCTGCTCCTAGGAGGAGCATCTCGTGGACTGGAGGTTACTCAGTAGTACCTGGGGTGGAGATGGGAGGACGCGGGGGGCCTCGGCCGGGTCTGTGAGCAAGGAGCTTCCTCCGCCTGAGTCTCTCCTCTCTTTAGCCCTGGCCGTGACTTTCCGCCCTGATGGTGCGGAGCTGGCTGTGGCCACGCTGAACTCGCAGATCACCTTCTGGGACCCTGAAAACGCGGTGCAGACGGGTTCCATCGAGGGCCGGCACGACCTCCGAGCGGGCAGGAAGGAGCTGGACAAGATCACGGCCAAGCACTCAGCCAAGGGGAAGTGAGTGCTCCCCTGGGGGCCGTGGGTCGGGTGGGGGCTGAGGGCGTGTCCTGTCGGCTCATGAGTCTCGTGAACTCCGAGAACAGGAGCCTGGCGAGGGAACCAGTGCGGGTCATGGTGGTTAACAGTCTCGTGGAGTGAGGTTCAGGCAGTCAGCCTCGGAGAGTTAGTGAGGGGACATGTGTGCTGGAATACCTGGTCTAGCATCCTCTCTGCTTCCCAGAGGTGGGTTCTGAAGAGCCCGCAGATCAGCGTCACTGGGCAGGGTCTCTCACCTGTGTGCCCTCCAGGTCCTTCACCACCCTGTGCTACTCCGCGGACGGCCAGAACATTCTGGTGGGAGGCCTGTCCAAGTTTGTCTGCATCTATCACGTCAAGGAGCAGATCCTCGTAAGGAAGTTTGAGATCTCCTGTAACCTGTCTCTGGATGCCATGGAGGTGTGTCGGGGCGGCTGGGCCACCACAGTCAGAGCAGACCCCACGTGGGTGGGGGGCTTCCCCACAGCCACCCGCTGTGCGGAGCCAAGCTTAGCTGTCGTCTGTCGTGTGGGTGGAAGGGCTGGTGCTGCGGGTCGGGTGGGGCTGCGTCCCCTGCTGCGGCTTTTGGGAGGATCCGCCGTGACAGGCCTAAAGGGGTCTGCTGGGCGCTGAGGGCATGTGAAGGGGGAGGAGATGGTGCGAGGTGGTGGGGTCCGTGGCCCCTTTCTTGAGCCCACACATCAGAGGTGAGACGGGCCTGGCTTTGGCTGTCCCAGGAATTTTTGAACCGGAGGAAAATGACAGAGTTTGGCAACCTGGCGCTGATTGATCAAGATGCCGGGGAGGAGGACGGGGTCGTGATACCGCTACCGGGCGTAAGGAAAGGTGAGCGGGGCTCTCCCGTGTCCCCATGGCCCACCCCCGGGGGTGGAGCCGCAGCGGGGGTGTGCCTTTCCTGGGTGACCGTGGTTCTGCTCGTGGTGGGGGCCACGGGTTTACAAAGTTGAGGTGCTCTGACCACACAGTGACGTTTGGCCAGATGCTAGGTCAGTGGTGGTGGCCGGGGGCCGGCGCTGTCGCCTCCCTCAGGCCCCAGAAGCCCGCCCTGCGAGTCCCCACTGCAGCCTGCGTGCCTCGGCCCCGTCAGGACCCCGCCGGCACTCTTGGCATGGGGTGGGCAGAGATCAGGAGGCGTGCTGAACATTCTGCAGTGCACAGGATGGCCGCCCACAACAGAGAACTAGCCGGCCCCAGATGTCAGTCCCGCCCGGGTTGAGATCCCCCGAGAGAGAACGTTAGTCATGGTGGCCTCCAGGAAGGGCCCGGGCGGCTGGTGCAGGGTTGAAAGTAGGCTTACTTTTCGGTTTACCTCCCGTGTGGTTTGAATTTACAACACAGGGGCGGCAGCGTGACAAGCCCGAGGCCCTGGCCCAGACGCCCAGGCAGCGTCTGCACGGGATGGGAAAGGCCGCTCCCTGCCTTGTCTTGGTGCCAGGTTGGGGCAGAGGACGGAGGGCGACTGCACCTCTTCTGCAGAGCCCCCTCCAGGCAGCCCCCTGGGAAGGGGAGTAGGCTGCCAGTAACTGTCGTCGGTTCTTCCCCCAGGTGACATGAGCTCTCGGCACTTTAAACCTGAGATCAGAGTGACTTCGCTCCGCTTCTCCCCAACAGGTGAGCCCCGAGAGCAGGTTGTCCACAGTGGAAGGGGCGGGGCTTGGATCCACGGGGTCTGGGGGGACGATGGCTGTCTGTCTGCCTGTGGTCGTGGGGTCAGCCGCAGGTAAGAACGAGATGGCTCTGAGCTGCTGTGGCTGCCTGTCCCTGTCTGTAAGGACACGTGCGGCGCCAAGGCTCTGTTCCCAGGCGTCTGTGCTCCTGGACGGTCGGTGCACGATTACCGGCGCCAACTGCTCTTCCTGAGGCTGCCCACACAGGGCCGTTGGCAGGGGCCACCTCCTCGCCTGTCTGCGTGAAGTCGTCTCTCCCTGCCCTGCCCCGCCCTCGACTGCCAGGAGGCAGAACGCGCACTCCTCCCCGTCACGTCTGTGTCCAGGCAGACAGTGCTTTGAGAAGTCTGAGGGGAAGGGACTCGGCCCCCAGCCCACGGCGTGTGCCGTCCACAGATGGGGAGCCGTGAGGCTTCTCAGCAGGGGGCGCGTGGGGACCACCGTCGTCTCTGTCAGGGCTATTGGCCCACCACCTATTCTCTAAGATAGCTCTGCCCCTCCGTGTTTTGTCTGTGGTAGCTTTTGAGGCACAAGGCCAGAGTTGAGTGGTTGCAAAAGACACCGTCCCACCACAAGGCCAAAAATATTTATTCTCTGACCCTGGTGTAGACGGAGAAAAGAATGCATGTACCTAGGTATTCGCTCACACGCATAAAACAGCTCTGGAGAAAGACCTACAAAAGTGATAAGACCAGTCCCTTCCAAAGAGGAGCTGGGTGCTGAGGGTGGGCGGCAGGGAGCTGTTCCTGGGCTTCCTTTTGTGCCTGGTATTGTCTCAGTCATCTCGTGCTGCTGTTACAGAAATACCACAGGGGGCGGCTTTAACAGACAGCAGTTTATCTTCTCACAGTTCAGGAGGCCAGAAGTCCCAATTCAGCACCAGCTTTAGGGGAGGGCTTTCCCTGTTCGCTCTGGAGGAAGGTCCTTGTCTCTCCAGCTTTTGCTTCCTGGTTCCTTGGAGATCTCCCTGTGGCTTGGCATTTGTCTTACCCCAGCTCTCCTCTGCTGGCTTGTTTAATCTCTTTTATATCTCAGAAGAGATTGACTCAAAATACGCCCTACGCTAATCTTGCGTCATTAACATAAAGATAACCCATTCCCAGAAGGGATTATAACCACAGTCACAGAGGCTGGGATTTACAACGCATATGTTTGGGGGACGTAATTCAAACCACAGCAGTATTCAATACCTTTTCTTTAAAAAATGGGCAAACAGTGAAGGAGTTTTTAGAAAGCCAGCTTCCCGCCTGTTCCCAGGGCGCTGCTGGGCAGCCACCACCACCGAGGGGTTGCTCATCTACTCCCTTGACGCCCGCATGACCTTCGACCCATTCGAGCTGGACACCAGCATCACACCCAGCCGGATTCGCGCCGCGCTGCGCCAGAGGGACTTCACGAGGGCCATCCTGATGGCCTTCCGGCTCAACGAGCAGGCGCTGGTGCAGGAGGCGCTGGAGTCGGTGCCCCAGGACGAGGGTGAGCACGGGAGGAGGGGCGGCGGTCCCTCGCCTGTCTGCGTCCCGTGCGCTCTACGAGCAGAGAGAGGGATGCGGCATCATCGTCCTGTCTAATTTGGGCTTTTTTCATCTCTTCCTCCTGCAGTCGAGGTTGTCAGCTCCTCGCTGCCTGAGCTGTACGTGGAGAAGGTCCTGGAGTTTCTCGCCACCTCCTTCGAAGTGTCTCGCCACCTGGAGTTCTACCTCTTGTGGACGCGGCAGCTGCTCATGCAGCATGGACAGAAGCTGAAGTCCAGGTGAGAGCCCTGCTCAGCCGGAGGCTCTGTCCTTCCCCGCTGCTCCGTGGGAGCTGTGCGGACAGACAGAACGGGGTGGGTCCTTGCAGCATGTGGAGTAAGGCAGCATTGTCGTCCTCTGCAGGGCGGGGATGTTGCTGCCAGCCGTGCAGTTCCTACAGAAGAGCATCCAGCGGCACCTCAACGATCTCTCCAAGCTGTACGTGTCCTGGGCGGCAGGGTGGGTGGAGCGGAGGCGTCCCACGCCGGCCGTGACCTGGGGCAGAAGGGGCAGTGTGGGTGCTGGCGGGGTGGGTGGGGCAGAGGCGTCCCATGCCGGCCGTGACCTGGGGCAGGAGGGGCAGTGTGGGTGCAACAAGGGTGGATGAGACTGGCCAGGTTCCCCTTGCTAGGACTCAGGTGTACCAGCTGCAGGTGGACCTGGTGGTAGAGAGTGCCACCCACTTGGAGCAGAGTGCAGAGTGACGCTGTGCTGTGGTGTCCCGTGGTGCCGTGGCATGGCCGTCGGGCTCTCGGACCCTGCAGAACCTTCTCTGTACCCGCACATCAGCGCGCGGGCGGGATGGGCATGGGGGCCTCGCGCTCTCCTAGGGGTGTGGCTGCTCTGTGCTTCAGTTTCCCAGAGGAGAAGGGGATGATGACGCGGGTGCTCTGAGTGGTGCCTGTCATCATCATCGTCTTCGGGATGGTTAGTGCACTTCCTGTCCCAGGGTGTGCAGGGCTGTGTTCAGATGCTGCAGGGTCTGGCCCTTGGCCTGAGGCTCCCATCACTCATGCGGGGTGAGGGGCAGGGCCCGATCCCCCCAAGTTCTAGACTGTCCCCACTGTCCCTTCCCCAGTACTGCATGGCCTGTCCCCTGCTCCAGTGCCAAACCCGTGGGTCCTGCTGTCTGTCCTCACTCCTGGCTCACTGTCTGTCCAGTACACACACTCCCTCATCGTGCCTTTTCTTCACACGGCTCTGGGTTTTCCCCGTGGGAGGCTGGGGTGAGACTGGGGCCGTGTCAGTCTGCGCTTTGCCCGGGGAGAACTGGCATCTCTTCAGCTCTGAGCCCCCCTTGGTGTGGGCGCCCCTGCCCTCCTACAGGGTGCTAGGATTGTTTGCACCAGGGGATGTCTTGTGTGGCTCCTGTTAGACCTGCTCCTTGACAATGGATATTTTGGGTGCTAATGTGAGTGATATCTGTTTTTATTATGCTTTAGGTGAGAGGTTACAGCTCAAATTAGTTTCTTTTTTTTTTCCTTTTTTTTTTAATTGATGTCATTAAATGAAGTTTACATTTCAAGTTAGTCTCCCATACAGAATTTTTTTAACATACATTGTTATGAGACCCCAACTGCTCACCCCATTCTGCGACAGCACACTCCTCCCCTCCGCCCCTGGTTCCCCATGAACATTCAACCAGCTTCTTACTTTCTCTGCCTTCCCCTCTAGCCTCTGGACAGAAGCCACCCCTTTGGTGTCTTATATCTACTTGTCTAAGAGGCACATTCTTCACGAGTATCACTTTATGTCCCACAGTCCAGTCCAATCCCTGTCTGAAGAGTTGGCCTCAGAAATTGTTTTAGTTCTGGGGTGATGGAGAGACCAGGGGCCATGCTTTCTGGGTCAAATTAATTTCTTGTATAAAAATTCATATACATATTGTTTTGTGACATTAGTTGCAATCCCCACAATGTGACAGCACACTCTCCTTTTCCACCTCGGGTTCCCTGTGTCCATTCAACCAGTTCCTGTCCCTTCCTGCCTTCTCATCCTGCCTCCAGACAGGAGCTGCCCATTTGGTCTCACATATCTGACTGAACTAAGAAGTACGTTCCTCACGTGTATTTCTTGTTTTATAGCCCTGTTTTTGATCTTTGTCTGAAGAGTGGGCTTTGGGAATGGTTTCAGTTCTGGGTTAACAGTGCGTCTGGGGGCCATAGTTCAGGGGCTCCTTCAGTCTCTGTTAGACCGTTAAGTCTGCTCTTTTTACGTGAATTTGAGTTCATTCTACATTTTTCTCCTGCTCTGTCCAGGACTCTCTGTTGTATTCCCTGTTAGGGCGGTCACTGTTGGTAGCTGGGCACCATCTAGTTCTTCTGGTCTCAAGCTGGTGGAGTCTCTGATTCATGTGGTCCTTTAGTCCTTTAAGACCTCAGATGCCACTCACCGAAGTGAGATATAGAACATTTTCTTAATAATCTTTGTTATGCCATTTGACTTGGATGTCCCCTGAAAGTATGGCCCCCAGCCCCAGCTACTCTGTCCTTCAAAGTGTTTGGATATGTCCAGGAAACTTCTTAGCTTTTGCTTTGGTCCAGTTGTGCTGACTTCCTCAGTATTGTGTGTTATCCTTCCCTTCACTGAAGCTGATCCATGTCTACTATCTAGCGAGTGATTTCTTCCCCCCTCTCTCCTCTCCCTTGTAACCATCGAAGAATGCTTTTTTCTGTGTTTAAATCTTTTCTTGAGTTCTTATAATAGTGGTCTTGTACAATGTGTGTCCTTTTGTGACTAATTTTACTCAGCATAATGCCCTCCAAATTCATCCATGTTGTGAGATGTTTTGCGGATTCATCATTGTTCTTTATTGTTGCGTAGCATTCCATTGTGTGTATGTACCGTAATTTGTTTATCCATTCATTTGTTGATGGGTATTTAGGTTGTTTCCATTTTTTTGCTATTGTGAATAGTGCTGCAGTGAACATGGGTGTGTATGTGTCTGTTCCTGTGACGACTCTTATTTCTCTCGAGTATATTCCTAGGAGTGGGATTGCTGGATCCTACAGTACTTCTGTTTCTAGCTTTTTAAGGAAGCGCCAAATCGTTTTCCAAAGTGGTTGTACCATTTTACATTCCCACCAGCAGTGCATAAGAGTTCCAGTTTCTCCACAACTTCTCCAACATTTGTTATTTTGTGTTTTTTGGATTAGTGCCAACCTTGTTGGGGTAAGATGGTATCTCACTGTAGTTTTGATTTTCATTTCTCTAATGGCTAATGATCCTGAGCATTTCCCCATGTATCTGTTAACCTCCTGAATGTCTTCTTTTGTGAAATGTTTGTTCATATCTTTTCCCATTTTTTAATTGGATTATTTGTCTTTTCGTTGTTGAGGTATTGCAGTATCTTGTAGATTTTAGAGATTAGACCCTTATTGGATATGTCATAGCCAAAAGTTTTTTCGCAGTCTGTAGGTTCTCTTTTTACTCTTCCGGTGAAGCCTTTTGATGAGCATAAGTGTTTGATGTGTAGGTGCTGCCAGTTACCTAGTTTCTCTTCTGGTGTTTGTGCATGGTTAATTATGGTTTGTATACTCTTTATGCCATGTATTGGGGCCCCTAGCATTGTCCCTATTTTTTCTTCCATGATCTTTATATCATTTTAGATTTTATATTTGCAGCCCTGGTGGTGCAGTGGTTAAGAGCTACGGCTGCTAACCAAAAGGTCGGCTGTTCAAATCCACCTGTCGCTCTTTGGAAACCCTATAGGGAATTTCTGCTCTGTCCTGTAGGGTCACTATGAGTCAGAATCAACTCTATGGCATTGGGTTTGGTTTTGGGTTTAGCACTGTCCCTATTTTTTCTTCCGTGATCTTTTATCGTTTTAGATTTTATATTTAGGTCTTTGATCCATTTTGAGTTAGTTGTTGTGTATGGTGTGAGGTATGGGCCCTGTTTCATTTTTTTGCAGGTGGATATCCAGTTACGCCAGCACCGTTTGTTAAAGAGACTGTCTTTTCCCCACTTAACAGACTTTGGACCTTTGTCAAATATCAGCTGCTCATAGGTGGATGAATTTATGTCTGGATTCTCAATTCTGTTCCATTGGTCTGTGTATCTGTTGTTGTACCAGTACCAGGCTGTTTTGACTACCGTGGCAGTATAATAGGTTCTAAAATCAGGTAGTGCAAGGCGTCCCACTTTGCTCTTCTTCAGTAATGCTTTACTTATCCTGGGCTTGTTCCCTTTCCATATGAAGTTGGTGATTTGTTTCTCTATCCTGTTAAAAAATGTCTCTGGAATTTGGATCTAGATTGCATTGTATCTGTAGATTGCCTTGGGTAGAATTGACATTTTCACAATGTTGCATCTTCCTATCCATGAGGATGGTATGTTTTTCCACTTAGGGAGGTCTCTTTTAGTAGTGTTTTGTAGTTTTCTTTGTATAGGTCTTTTACATCTCTGGTTAGATTTATTCGCAAGTGTTTTATATTCTTGGGGGCTATTGTAAATGGTACTGATTTGGTGATTTCCTTTTCAAAGTTTTCTTGTTGGTGTAGAGGAATCCAACTGATTTTTGTATGTTTATCTTGTATCCAGATACTTTGCTGAGATCTTCTGTTACTTCCAGTAGTTTGTAGATTTTTTGGGGTTTTCTGTGTATAAGATCATATCATTTGCAAATAGGGATACTTTTACTTCTTCTTTATCAATTTGGAAGCCCTTTCTTTTTCTTGCCTTATTGCACTGGTTAGGACCTCTAGCATAGTGTTGAATAAGAGTGGTGATGGGGGCATCCTTGTCTGGTTCCCATTCTCAAGGGGAATGTGTTCAGTCTCTCCGTTTAGAATGATGTTGGCTGTTTGTTATATCAAGGAATTTCCCTTCTATTCCTATTTTGCTGAGTTATCAGGCATGGGTGTGAGTGGGATCTTTCCTGGGACGTCAGTCATGGCTGGTCGGACTCAGGCACTTGGAGGTGGGGGTGTAGAGTGGGCTTGGGCTCCGGGTGGAGTAAACATTCTGCTGGTTGCTTTACTGATGTGGCGATTCCCATGTCTCTGACAGCTGTGACTGGAACTGCTACAACATGCGATATGCTCTGGCCGTGTCCAAGCAGAGGGGTGTGAAGCGGCCCGCGGAGCCGCCAGGCAGTGAGGAGGAGGCTGCTGCATCCACCGATGACGAGGACAGCCTGCGCCTGCTTGCGGGGACAGAAGAGGAGGAAGGAGAGATGCTGTCATAGAGGTCCCGCGGCTGCGGTGCCAGGACCATCAGACATGCCCAAGGTGTGGGCGGCTGTGACTGCTCAGCCTGCCCGAGGCTCAGAGACCTGGGACGTCGGTGCAGGAGACTTGCTTTCCTCTAAAGGAGCCAGCGCACGCAAGCAGCCAGGGGAGCGGCCGACCTCCAGCCCGTCTCAGGCAGCACCTGACCCAGGGGATTGAGCCTCAAGTAAACGTTGAAACTTCTGCCGTTGAAACAGTGCCTTCACATAGGTCCATGTGTCCCATTCCTGGATGCAGACTGCGTATGAGGGCTGTTTATATACTTTTGATGATGAATTGAGTGATGAAGACAGTGGGGCGTTCTGAATGTGAAGATGGATTAAGTCTAAGCTAAATTAAACACGTTTCTGACTCTGTCCTGGGTGTGAGGAGCTACAGGATGATCATGACCCCCCCACCTGTGCCTCCTAACACAGAGGTGACAGAGGGTGGCACCAGGGGAGTGGGTGAGCAGGGCAGCAGTGAAGCCCTCCCCCGAGCCATCACGGCATCCCACCTGGAACAGAGAGGAACATAGCCCCAGGTGACATGGGGTGGGGGCACACTGTCCTGGGCAACGTGGAGAGGGGACGTGGCCTCAGGCTGGCCAGAGGCCCCCTTCTCCCTATGGTGTACTCTGGAGGGGTCACTGGGGGTGGCTTGGACCAGCGTCTCCCTCCTGCTGGTTCCCAGAGTTCAGCAAAGGCAGGCCTTAGAGTCAGGGACCAGGCGGACCTGGGGCCGGTGTCCTCGGTATGTGGGCTGGCACCAGGCCCAGCCCTGTCACTGCCCTGCCTCTGCCTCTGATGTGTGTGCACAAAGCCTGCAGAGCTTGGTGCCAAGGCAGGATCTCTGCCTCCAGAGACTGTCCGTGACTGTGTTTGAACCAGATTCCCGGTGCCTGGGATGCCTTGTTTCAGTAGACCCACAGGTGATGTCTGGAAACCCAGAATCCACACACATCCCCAGGGGAGCAGTGTGCGCTATTGAACGTGTCCTGGGACATCCAAAGCGTCCTGCCTGTACTAGAAGGAGCAAGGGGGCCGGTTGGCCTGGGTTTCAGAAGGGAGGTCTGAGGCCTTCCCGTGGTTTACCAGTTCCCCACAATAGCAGGGACACTTGACCTTGGATGATGAGGCTGGGCCTCCAGTGAACTGAGGGCGAGTTTCCCTTGGTATTTGAGCCCAGAAACTAAATAGAATGATGACTCTGGATGGATCCCTCCCTGTCTGAACCCTGATGGGGTGGTTGCCTGTCCACAGGGGGCACCTGGGGCACCCTGAGCAGGAGACCCAGAGCGGGCTGTGGGTGAGAGCTGTGTGGTGTCATCCTGCCTCTGAGGGGCCCCTGGTGTAGATAGCGTTATCCTGGGCCTTCCCTCCTCTCCCCACTGAACTGCCCCAAAGCCCCAAACTACGTTGCTTCCACCCCTCCGCCTTAAAACAAAAACTGTATTTTCTCTTCTAACGGTTCTTAACAGGTTAATTCACAGGTATATTGCAGGTGATTATTGTTTGCATCCCAAGTAAATCCCAAAGTTGTAGATCATTTTCCTTCCTAAACACCTAGAGGAGAGTTCGTAGTTTTTACCGCTGTCCCCATAATCACATCTCAGTCCCCAGGTGCCATTCAGGATTTGGAGCTGAGAAGGGGGAAGCCAGCTGGTTCCCCAGGAGCTGAGGGTCCTGGATGCTCCATGGCAGTGTCCAGCAGGGAAAGGGTTAAGAGCTGTGCTCCACAGGAATGGCGGACAAGAGCAGGGACAAGGACAGCGACATGCCCCAGGCTTATCTTGGGTTTTAACATCTATAATACCCCCACATTCATTGTTCCAGCTTCCTGCTCACTCCTTGCAGAAATCAACAGTAAGTCTTAAAGATGGACAACTTGAGTATCGATAAGGAAAGCAACTGTGTTGGATTAAAACAACATCAAAAGTCTAAATCCATGAATTCACAATGATACTAAAAAATTACAGTGGTTACTGTTGGGATGGTGGTAAACCAGTGTTGTTATTAGTTTGAAAGTCGGTAAATAAAGGGAAAGTGTCAAGCATTTATCCTGTTCCTAGATGAACGGACTCTTGGATAGTGGGAGAATTCCAGCTGGGCCCTGAAGGAATGGTGGAGTAAGAATACCGCCATTTTGCGTTGGTTTAGCAGATCTACACCCTCAGCATCAGTGGCTCCTGATAAAAGAACACCTGTCACCCATGGACATTGTTGGCCCAAGGGGACAGAGGAGTATCTCAGCTACATCACAGGGATGAAGTCAGCAAAAGCCAGAGGGGGCACCCAAAGGCACAGGAGCTGTCCTCAAATGGAAATTCAGAGAGGGACGTTTGAAACCAATTACAGTTTGATCGTGATTGAAACAAACGAAGAACAAAAATGGACATTATGAGAATTTGACATGTAAACATGAGAATCTAAATATTAAGCATGGTAGTGATTGAAGTTAGATTATTTTAAGGAGTGTTATGGATTGAACTGTGTCCCCCAAAAATATGTGTTGTAAATCCTAACCTCTATTCCTGTGGTTATAATCCCATTTGGGAATGGGTCGTCTTTGTTATGTTAATGAGGCAGGATGAGTGTAGGATGTGTTTTAAATCAATCTCTTGAAATAAAAGAGATTAAGCAAATGAGTGAGTGGAGGGGGGAAGAGAGATGCCAAGCCACATGAAGATCACCCATGAGCAGAAGCTCAGCGGTAAGGACCTTCCTCCAGAGCCGAGAGAGAAAGCCTTGCCCTAGAACTAGCACCCTGAATTTGGACTTCAGCCTCCTATTAACTGACAAATTTGTTAAAGCTACTCGTATTTCTGTTAAAGACGCAATGGATAACTAAGACAAGCAGCCTTTACCTTTCAGATGAGTGATCTCAGCTACCATTTTGCGTCCCCCACCCCACCTCCCAGGGGATATCTGGCAATGTCTGAGACGGTTTTGGTTGTCACATCTTGGCGATGGGTGAGCTACTGGCATCTACTGGGTAGAGGCCAAGACGATGCTCAGCACCCTACGGTGCACAGGATGCCCCCACGACGGAGGATAACTTGGCCCCAAATGTCCACAACGCCCGTTGAGAAACCCTGTTTTAGAACTAGAAGGGGAAGAGGATTTGGTTAAAGGAATGGCAGTTCCGGGATGGAGTGGGCTGGACGTGGGGCATCAGGACTAGCCTTGAGGGGCAGCTGTTGAAGCTGGGTGACCGGCTCGCGGGGCTCATTTTACTCTGTCTGCGTTTGGAATTTGCTGTGATTATTTTTAAAGAGCCTATGTCCTGGGGGGAGGGGGGCACTCCCCAGCCGTCCGGGCAGCGAGGCCCGCACCAGGGGGCGCTGAAAAGAGTACCCAGAGCCCCCGGCCTCCGGACTGTCCGGGTGGGTGACAGCGGCTCACACAGGTGGAGGGGGACGTGCGCCCGGGGCTTGGCGGCTTCCTGCCCGCCCTCGCACCTAGGCAGCTCAAGGTCACCGAGGGGCCAGGGCGCGTAGCCGGCGCTGGAGACCGGGAAGGAATGAGCCACGGTCAGCACCCAGCATCCCCACCACGGAGTCGGGTTTGCAAGCCTGCGTGAACACCCACACGGAGACTCTGCGCAGGCGCGGCCCCGCCCACAGACGCGCTCGCGGAGGCGGGCCGGAGAGATCCCTGAGACTGCGCAGGCGCGGCCCCGCCTCCCGAGGCGTTCCCGGGGGCGGGCCAGGAACTCCACGCCGGGGACTCTGCGCAGACGTGGCCCTGCCCACCGACGCGCTCTCGGAGGCGGGACGGGGACAGGCCCTGGAGCTCCACCCCGGCGACGCTGCGCAGGCGCGGTCACGCCTACTGTTGCGCTGCTTCTCTACCTATCTGTGCCTGGCTCTGCGATGGCTGCCCTTAGAGTCCTGGTGGCGCCAAGGCTGGCGGCGGCCTCCGTGCTCGCGCCGCTCCCCAGCCGCCTGCGGCTGCTGCCCCCTAGCAGGCAGGCCCTCTTCCCGCGCGCGGCCCTCCACTGCTCCGCGCCGCGCCCGGGAGCCAGGGTCGCGGTGGTGAGTGGACGGCCTCGGCGGGCGGGCGTCCAGCGAAGGTCGCCGGACGCGGGCGGGGTCCGCGGGGAGGAGGCGGGAGGACGAGAGCGCGCGCCCCGCCGCCGGAGGTCGGGCCCCGCGTGACGCCGCCCTTCTCTGCCCAGGTTCTGTCCGGATGCGGCGTCTACGACGGGACCGAGATCCACGAGGCCTCAGCGTAAGCCCTTAGCGACAGAACCCTTGTTCCCGCCTCAGTCCTTGGGGAGTGTCTTTTTTCCTTGTGGAACTCGTCATTTAGAGGAAGTTTGCATTATTAATACTCTTTCTCATTAGAGAGCTAGTCAACCTGCGAAATAGAGAACGCACAGTTTTAAAAAATCACCTGTGCACAGCAGGAGGACGAAAAGGAAATTTAAAACATATCATCTGTAATCTGTCACCCAAGTAGTCCCTGCGTGGTGTAAAGGGTAGCGATGCACCTCCTGGATGGAAAGGTTGGTGGTTCGAACCCACCCAGAGGCGCCTTAGAAGAAAGGCCTGGGGATCTATTTCCGAAGGGTCATAACCTTGAAAACCCTGTGGAGTAAACTTCTCTGCACACTGGGGTCGCCGTGAGTTCGGATGGGCTTCGTGACAACTAACAGCAGCAACAGTTGCTCACCCACAGATGACCACGGATGTTTTCCTGGTGTTTTTCAGTACATGTTTTACACACGACGGGGTTACACTGAGTGTGCACTTGGTAACGTTTCTTTCCCTGTTGTATCTGGACGCACTCCCCTGCCATTAAATACTTACAGTGTGGTTTTTAACGGTTGCATTACATTTTAGGTTGTAGACAGATCGTAATTTATGTAACCGCTCAGCTCAATAGTTTGCGTTTGACTTTTGATTTTATTTTAAAAAGTGACTGTGCGCAGGTTCAGTAGGTTGTCCTAGTGGCCAGCTCACCGTGTTCCCCAGGTGGTTCAGAGTAAATTGGAGACACGAGAGTTAGGTGTCCTTTAGGGAATGACCCCTGTGGTGAGAGTGTACTTCCCGCCCAGGAAGCTCCCGCATCTACCCTGAGGAGCCTCAGGCTGGTGGCTCTGCACAGTAATGGTACCTGTCCCCCATCAGGGTATCACCCACGTGTGCTGGTGTTGACACTAGACAGCACTGAACGGAGCTGGTAGGCGGCCAAGGGCCAGGGTGAGTTGCCTGATGGGCTTGGGAGTGGGGGAGAAGAAGTGGCAGAGGCAGGGCATGGCTTGACATGGGCAAAGGAACACCTGCAGTGCCTGGGGGGTGCCGTGTACTGGAACCCGGCTACCCGCGCTAGAACCTAACTGCCTAGTACTAACGTGGAGTCTCAGCAATCTCCTCCACCCCCGTGGCTCAGTCTCCTCATCTGAGAAAGGGGCACAGTCATAGCATCGGTAGGGGGTAGTGAGTGGTCACGCATTGGTATTTGGGACCATGCTTGACACAGAGCCAGCAGTTAATAAGTGTTAGCTGTTGTCATCACTAGTGACTTCTGTGCCCATGGTGGTGGGGACTCCTTCCTGGCCTGCTCATGCAGGTCTCCGTGTCCGTGTCCCTCCCACCCTGCCCCATGGAGAAGTTGGGGAAGACTGGTCACTGAGCCTGCTACGCTTGTTAGCTGCCACAGGTTGGCCCCCAACTCATGACAACCCCATGCACAGAGAAGTAAAATGTTACCCAGTCCTGTGCCATCCCCGTGATGGGTTGTGGTTTGGATTGTTGTGATCCATAGGGCTTTCATTGGCTGGTTTTTTTTGGAAGTAGAAGGCCAGGCCTTTCTTCCTGGTCTCTCTTAGCCTGGAAATGCCACTGAAACCTGTTCAGCATCATAGCAACACGCAAACCTCCACTGACAGGTGGTGGCTGCGCATGAGGTGCATTGGCCGGGAAGTGAGCAGAGTTTCCCACACAGAAGGTGAGAATCCACCGAACTGTGTTGCGTTTGGTTGTCCAGGCTGCAGCCGCTGCCTCCTCACCCACGGAGTGCTCACTGTAGAGTGCTCGCCTCTGGAGGCCTGTAGGGGGTTGGCCTGTGGGAGGTCAGGCTGGCCCTGGTGAACGGAGAGCACTCACCAGCAGCCTGGGGACTGGAATCACATCCTGCCGTGATACCGGCTTCATCACCCAACCCCTGTGCTCCGGTTTGTGAAGTGAGACGTTGGGACTGATGATCTCTGCAGCGCCCTCTGGATGCTGACATTTTTCCTTTGTGTTCGTTACTCCAAGCACGTGATTCTGCCCTAACCACAGGGTGGTAGTGGACAGGAACGATGGGTATTTGGGTTGCTGGCAAGGCACCCACAGCTTTGTGCAGAGCAAACTGGCTATTAATGTACCTTGGGAATTTGTACTGGCGCTTAGCTGAAATCATGTCTTGGGAAATAAATAACGGAACAGTTCTGGGCTGGACATTTTCTAAAATCACGTTTTTGATCCCTCTGCAGGATCCTGGTCCACCTGAGCCGTGGGGGCGCTGATGTTCAGATCTTCGCCCCGGACACGCCACAGATGCACGTGGTTGACCACACCAAGGGGCAGCCTTCTGAGGGAGATACCAGGTGAGTCATCCCTCCTGTCCGTGGACGTGATGAGCGGGCGGGATGGAGATATGTTGAGAAGCTGAGATCCAGGGCGCAGCCTGTGCTGGGGGCAGCTGCTCGTCGGGTGGATCTGGAGCCTAGGGCAGATCTTTGCATTCCCATGGGGCCTCAGAGCAGCTGACGTGGCAGTGCAGAGATTTCTCATTTTCTGGCACTTCCTGAACGATGAGAGGTTGAGTTGGTTGCCTCCCACGGCGTGCAGCCGTCCACACCTTCCTCTGACCAGGGCCGCACTGCCCGGCCTGGCTGCCGCCCTCCATCGGTGTTGGCTCCGTGGGCCTTTCCGCCCCTTCCCAGAGTGTCTCTGTCACTGAGGCGTGGGCAGCCCTGCCCCGCGTTCCCTGAAAGCCTGTCCTGCCGAGGGCTGCAGGCTGCGTGTCCCAGGCACCAATGTCAGTGCCTTGCAGCTGGGCTCAGACTGGGGAGGTGGTGGCGGAAGGAAGGAACCGAAGCTTTGTCTCTTCTGTGGCTGCAGTTTTGCTGGTTAGCACCCTCCTTGCTAGTTAAAAGCCAGGCCTGCCCCCTTTGCCCCACGAGCCCAGGGTGGTGGTAGCTTCCTGCGGTTGCTAGTCTTTGAGTTGCTTCACTCAACGCGCGTCATAAGCCTTTTAACCTTCCCATCAGCTGTGTAACCGATTCCCTGCGCTGTGTCTGCTTTAAACCCTTGGAGTATTTAGGTTTTCCTACCTGGGCCCTGGCAGAGGCAGGGAGGTTCAGAGTGATTTGCTGTAGGTCCTGGAATGCAGTTCTGAGAGAATTCCAGGAAACGTTTGAGCTTATAGTGAGTGCACTGCTTTTCCTGGCAGCGACCTTGAACGCTGCTTTAGACACAAGTCCCCGCAGGTGTGAACACTCCCCCTCCAAGCTGAGGCTTTCATATAGAATGTGTCTCTTGCTCTTCTGTGAGGACAGGGGCTCTCGACTCCGCTACCGCCTTCTCCCGCCTCCTGTCTGTGCCCTGAACCTTTCTATCACGCTACTCTTTGCTCCTCCCAGGAACGTTCTGATAGAATCGGCAAGGATTGCACGTGGCAAGATCGTTGACCTGGCCCAGCTCCGTGCAGCTGACCACGATGCTGCCATCTTCCCTGGAGGGTTCGGAGCGGCCAAAAACCTGTGTGTATTTCAACCTTTGGGGTTCTCTGCCACTTTTCATGAGGCGCGATAGATATAGAAACAGTGATGACCTGAGGGGGCTTTAGAGGCCGAACAGCGTGTGTCCCTGCTGTTAACGAAGGGACCACTGTTAGGTTTGGGGCCTTGCTAGCATTTCCACAGGGCATGGGTGTTTCCCACTTTCTGCTGAGTCTCTGATGGCTGTACTCACAGAGCACGTTTGGTAATTGACAGGGTCACAGGGTGTGGGCCCTGTCGTCACTGAACACCCTGCAGCACGTCACAACCACCTCAGCGTGTTTGTTCCTTGAAAACGTTGGTTCTTCTGTGGAGTCTTGCGCACAGAAAGTTCCTCTTCCTGTTGACTTTTTCTGACAGACGTTCCCTGGAAGGAGGGAGGGAGGCCTTCATCCCTTCCGGTTTGCTCTCTGGCCTGTGGCCACAACCGCTGGGACGTGAGCCTGGGACGTGGCAGCGCATCTCGCTGTGACGTTCTCCAGGTTTCAGATCCCCTTTAGGGCTCTGATTTCTCATCTGTGTCTCATGAAAACAGAGTTCGTGTGGCTTCGCTGTCCAGGTGCAGTCCCAGCCTGAGGGAGCCAAGGGCCACTCTCCAGTGACGGGCTTTTTAGTGGCGTTCTGCAGCGTCTCAGAGAGCGTTAGCCTCAGCCGTCACAGTGTGGAAAGGTGTGAAGAAGCCCACGTGTCGGAAGGTCGCAGTCTGACTGTGTGCTGCAGCGTGGTGATGACCCGGGTGAGGGGGCAGCAGGTGGTGAGGCAGGGCCCAGGCCGAGCGCCCCGCATCGTGGGCAAGACCCCAGGCCGAGCGCCCCATATCGAGGGCAAGACCCCAGGCCGAGCGCCCCACATCGAGGGTAAGACCTCAGGCCGAGCACCCCCGCATCGAGGGTAAGACCTCAGGCCGAGCACCCCCGCATCGAGGGTAAGACCTCAGGCCGAGCGCCCCCGCATCGAGGGTGAGACCTCAGGCTGAGCGCCCCCGCATCGAGGGTAAGACCTCTGTCCCAGAGTGGGCTCTGGACCAGGCGTTTCTGGATGTATTTTTCCTCTGGGCAGGTCTTTGATAATAGGAGACACATCCAGTGAAATGCTTGGCTACAACTCCCTACTCTGTAGAAGCAGCGAATCCTCCTGGCTTTTTGCCCATCCACCAGGCTGCTTTTTACCCAACCACCAGGCTGCTTTTGGGGCCTGGGAATTTGCAGCCTCGATTATGGGCGCCTCCCCTCCTGGCTTCTGTCCTCCTTCCCCTCGTCTTTCCCGTTTTCTTTTCCATCCCTGCGTCCCCTCCTCACCCTCCTCAGACCCTCTCACCTCACAGTTGGTTCTTTCATTGCTGTGTTTCTCACATTGTCTTTAAAGGTCCCTCATAACCTCCTCGTCCTAAACGCGGTCCCCCTCTTGATCCCTCTTCGTTTTTGATGCTGGGAGCCCCCTGGTGTCCTGGCCTCAGCACCATCTTCTCAGATCTGCTGGCTGTTCTCCTTCACTGGGTCTTCCTCTCTCCTCTGTGGGACCCCCTTGTGCTCCCAGGGATTTCATCTCTGCCTGCAGCTTCAGCTGTCGTGCCAGTTCCGACAACTCCCATATCTCGACCTCAAGCCTCAGCCATTCTCTGAGCCCCATTCTAGCTGCGTGCTTGACCTGTGCCTCTGGATGTTGTGTTAACATTTAAACCAGCATACTGTGAGCCGTTCACGTCGTCTATCCAGGTCCACTCCAGTCCGTGATCTCTCGCTTGGGCCTGTTGGCAGGTTGCCTTTTACTCCTCCACCTGCAGTAGCACAGTGACCTCCTGGCTGGCTGTCTGCCTGCTCTGCTCTGGGTGTCCTGCACCCAGAGCTAGGGGAAGACATGGCTAAGCCTTCTAAAGCGTGACGGCACTGATCCCATCCCTTTCTCACTCTGGAGCCATGAGTGCCGCCTGCCTGCAGGGCTGGGAATGGATGCCTCCGTTCAGGTTTGGACCCTCTCTTTTCCCGGCTCCACCGTCAGTGTTCTTGCCTCTCTCTACCCGGGGAGCTGCCTCACGCTGCGCCCAGACCCTCTCCCCGGGGCCAGCGCTGAAAGGGAAACTGCCTTAGCAAATCACACTTGATGTTTTTTCAGTCACTTGCTCATGTCATCTTCACGGATTCCTGGGTGGGAGACGGGCAGAGAGTGCCTGCATCAGCTGATTCTTACTTCTGAGAAGGGCAGGTTCCATGCCCAGGGCTTCTGACTTGGGAACAGGAGTGGAATTCGCTGATCCTCGGCCTTACCTCTGACTGTCTGCACCTCCCTGGTGTGCGGAAGGGGAGGCTGAGGCTCGGTTAGGGGCCGGGTCTCCCCAGCATGGCTGACGGCTTATCTCTGGTCTGTATAAAAGCACAGATAGAGGCGAGTTGAGGTGATTTGTTTTGATGAACGGCGTCCCAGCGTCTGATGAACCAGCTGGTCTCGGGATCCACGCGTGTGTGCGTCTGAGTTCATAGTCCCACCTGGGGGAGCTCCGTCTTCCTGGTTTGCTGGCCCATCCTAGGGGAACTTTCCAGAAGAAAGGCAGCCCTTGATGGGCCAGGCGCCTGCTGAACTCACGAGACCCCCCAGACCAGTGGTCTCCTCTGGGTGGCAGTTGTTGGGGTGTTCGCGTGTGGTTCTGTGGTGGTCCACGTGGTGACAGGGTTACTGTGGCAGTTCCTTCTCGCACTGCTGACCCTCAGACTCCCCGCCTGGCCGCTGTTCAACCAGTTTCTTGGGTGTATTTCAGAGAGATTCTGTGTATATGGGTGGGTTACAGACGTCACCAAATGGTCGCATCCTTGACTTGCTGTTCTGTACTGTGTGTGTGTGTCTTAGTCGCTTAGTGCTGCTGTAACAGCTACCGCAGGTCGGGGGCTTCAAAGACCAAACATTATTGTCTAGCGGTTCTAGGGGCTGAAAGCCTGAATCAGCGTCTCGGCTGTGTCGATTCCTTCGGTGGTCTCTCTCCTAGTTTCTGGTGTCTGCCGGCAATTCTTGGCATCCCTGAGCTCCTAGATGGTTCTGTCCATCGTGCCACGTGACCTCTGTCTCCCCGTGTGTCTGGGTCTGTTCTGCTCTTTTTATAAGACCTCACTCAGGAGGGAGTAGGTTTAGGACTCACCCCATTCCAGTATAACCTCATTAACATAAGAAAAGCCTGTTTCCAAACAGGGTCACAGTCACAGGTCCAGGGCTTAGGATTTTTGCGTAACGTTTTAGGGGATACAAGTCCGTAACGGTATTTGTTCCTTAAAATATAGCGTGGGCATTGTTTCTAATTTTTTAGCAGCTGCGTCTATTCCAACGGAGTGCTGTACCAGAAATTATTTAATTGCTACCCTGTTGGTGGGCTCCCATCCAGTCTTCCTTTTGGTTTGTTGGTTTTTAATAGCTGAGGGAGGTGTGATTGCCACATGCATACGTAAAGTGGCCTGTGTGATAGTTGGGACGAGCGTGCACCCTGCGAAGCCACGGCCGGTCATAACAGACGCCCACCTCCCAGAAGGTTCCCCAGTCCTTTGCAGTTACCAACGATGCTGTCATAGATAGTCTAGATCAAGGAGTGGAGTAAATAAATAGGATAGCATGACGCTCTGACAGTGGAGTTGTTGGCAGAAAGGTGTGGGTACTGTGAGTTCTGAAAGATATTACTGAGCTCCCTTCCAGAGAGATTGCCCCAGTTTGTGCCCCACGAGCGGTGGGCCAGTGCGGGGTGAGGAGGCTTTCTCTGCACCCTCGGCACCTTGTCAACCGTCAGCCACGCTGGCGGTGAAGAAGAGGGTGTTTTGTTTTAATGTGGCGTTTCTTTAATTGTTAGCGAGGTCAGATATGTTTCGTTACGTTTATAGGCCATTTACGTGCCTTTTTATGAAACTCGTTTTTGTGCTTTCTGGCGTGTCGTGCTGTTTCTTGACTTTCCGTGTGCACGTGTCAAGCATTGCCTTGGTGTGGGGGCAGGACAGACCGAGTCCCTGTGGCCTCTGGCTGGCTCTGGCCACCATCCCTTCCCCACCCTTGACCCTCCCTCCTGTGCCGTGTTTTCTATGCTTTTCTGTAAAAAATTCCGTCTATACACATGTAAACATGTATTACGTATTCACTTATGTCAGACTCTTGTGAGTAATGGTGTATGTAAGATCTGTGGGAGGTGGGGCTGGGAGCTTCATGTGTAGAGGGACAGGGTGGCGTGGCTCTGTGAGAAGGGTTTTCTCTCAGGTTAGTGGGAGGTGGGGTAGCAGCACCCCGAGTGGATGGATGGGTGTGGTGCTCTGTGAGAAGGGTTTTCTCTCAGGTCCGTGGGAGGTGGGGTAGCAGCGCCCCGAGTGGATGGACTAGGTGTGATGCTCTGAGAAGGGTTTTCTCTCAGGTCGGTGGGAGGTGGGCTGGCAGTGCCCCAAGTGGATGGACAGGCGTGGTGCTTTCTGACAAGGGTTTTCTCTCAGGTTGGTGGGAGGTGGGGCTGGCAGCGCCCCGAGTGGATGGACGGGTATGGCGCTCTCTGAGGAAGGCTCTTCTCGTGGCAGGAGCACGTTTGCCGTGGACGGGAAGGACTGCAAAGTCAACAGAGATGTGGAGCGTGTGCTGAAGGAGTTCCACAGCGCTGGGAAGCCCATCGGGTGCGTGCGCCCTGGGGTCTGGTGGGGTCTGGGTGTCCACGTGGGGCCCCCAGGCTGTTTGGCCGGCCGGCAGTGGAGGGAGGATGTGGCCTGAGGACCACTGGCCTGTGGTGCTCAGGTGGAGCCGTCGCTCTGGGCTGTGTGGTCTCGAACCCCCCACCTATCTTCTCACTTTGACTGAGGTGTTTCCAGCCTGGAAAATTCTCCCTGTGCACATCACTGTCCTGTCGGGTGACTTTCAGGAAGGAGCCAGGGGTGCCCCCCACCACCCCACAGGCAGTCTGCAGCCCTGCCAGCGTCCCACGGTATCACCAGTCAGCCCCTTCTTTACCCTGACCTTTGACCACTGCCCTCCCTGACTGCTGCCCCCCTCACCCTGACTTGGTCAGAAGCCCTGTGCTGCAGGCCCCGACCCCCAGTGTTCCACACTCGCTTGTTCCCAGGACATTCACCAGCACACACCATTCCAGGCCACCGCCTCGCCCACGGGGACCACGCACCGGTCGCCCACCCACGTGAGGTGGTCACACGCCAGACTAAGGCAGACTTGCCCGCATCTGAGCTGCCTCGTGGTTCACGGAGCCAGCAGGCAGGGTCATGTGCCGATTGTAACCTGGGCCTCGGAAGTAGGTCTCGTGGTGCTGCTGTCTCAGAACTAAGCTGTCCGTGGTGCCTCGGGGGGCCTTGGCGCTCCCTCCCTGGCCTGGAGAAACCCTTTCACAAGCAGGGTGCTGCCCACACACAGCAGCAGTTATTACTCGGCTGGCCTCAGGCCACTCCCGACTGTACCACCTGACAGTTGTTCGATGACAGGCCGAGAAGGAGCAAGGCCACAGTAGAATCCCATCTTCATAAACCCTGAAGTCATCTCTCGCGACCCTGCCCTGTGGCCCAGGCGTGGCTGGCTCAGTGCCCAGCGCCATCCTGCGGTCCCTGAGGCTGCATGGACAGCATCAGCCTCCAGTGCCCTGGCCTAGGGCCCATCAGCACTGGGCGGCACCTCACACCATGTCCCCAGACACAGAGCCAATCTGAGAGTCAGTGCGGAGAGTGCCCAGGAAGGAGGCAGCGGGCCCAGGTCCTGCAGTGGCCACCCACAGTCTGGGCAAGGGTGCCGCGTCCCCAACCCCTCCCTTGGCGCTGCTGCTCTCAGAGGAGACCCGTGTGGGGCTACTTTCCTGGCTGAGTCAAAGCATGACCAGACGCGACAACAGCAGGTCACCCGCCCTCTTGCTGGACACTGCGCCTGCGCGTGGGGGCACACCCTCACCTGAGCCCGCTGCCGCCCGGGGGCCCACCGGAGCGGGTGCGGGGAGGCACACCCTCACCTGAGCCCGCTGCCG